CCAGAGTTTAAAGATAAATATGGAATTCAGATGCAAACTTTATACAGTGAGCACTAGAGGGCAGTAGCTGGTTAATAAGTTTACCAGTGAAGACAAATGTAGGAAAGACATAATAGGCTTTTCTCCTTCCTCCTTACCTTTGCCTCCACTCACCTCCTGCTCACCTCCCCCTTCTCCTTCATCACCTACTCTCCTCTTTCCCCTCCTCTCCTCACTTCTCCCTTCACCTCCCTTCTTCCTACCCCCTCACCTCCTCACCTCACTTCACCTCTTCCCTCCTTCCTCCTGCTGCCCCTTCCCCTTCCTTCTGGTTTACACTGAGCTCATAAAGCACATGAAGAGGAAAGCTGGTCTATTGAAAATACTACTTTTCATACATTTTCCAACTTAACAGCTTGACACAAGTCTCCAAGGGGTTTACATAACCTTTAACGAGGTTGAATAAATAAAACCTTGAGTCACTTTAATTGAACAAGTATTTATTGAATATCCACATGTAGGCTAGAATTGGATTAGTGCCTCCCTTGGAATTTTAAAATCTCTCCTCTCTTTGCTAATGGATTTGGAGAGTGGAAATAAGGCTTTCTGTGGTGGTTTATATAGGCTTTCCCCCTGGTTCTCCTGTGAGTCTCCGTCCACCTTGCTGCAGTGGCTTCTTGTAGTGGGGAGCCCAGATGAGTGAGGCTGTGGGGTGTAGGGTCTCAGGTGGGAAGAGCGGCCTCCTCACACAGCTGCCTCCACTCATTGCCCTGGCACCATGGGTGAGGCTGATGCAAGGGCAGGTGCCCACACTTGGTGTCTTGCGGGTGACCTTAAAGATGAGCTGAGTCATGACTCCCTCCTTTGGTTTGTGGGAAGGGCAGGTGATACCTGGAACAGATGAGGAGACTGGGAGGATCCTCCTGCTCAAAAATATCCTTTCTTTATATTTTACCAACAAGAGCCTTACTGAGATTAGAAAGCTACTCTTAAAAATCCTAATGATTCCTGAAGGATGAAGCCTGTGGCTTATTCCCTCGAGATGAATATCAGTGCACTCCTGTGTATCAGTTACCCCTGGCCTCAGAGAGGCGCCCTGGGAGTCTGTGGCCCCCACACTGCAGTGGGCACCACCCATTTTCGGTCCAGCAGCCAGCCTCACCCTACTTTGCCTCATTTGTTACAGATTGGAAGTGCCAGATTCAGGGATGGGCCTGTGACCCAGTTTTAGCTGAAAGGAAACCTTCTGGGGGTTTCTAGGAAAGATTTTCCCACTTGTTGAGAGAGAGGTGGACAAAGAAGAAAGCCCTTTCTGCCCTCATCCTCTTCTTCCATGTTGGGGTGCTAGCTGCATGAGGAATTGATCTTCAGAGCCACCAAAGACCCCCTGCCATGAGGAGGGAAGAAGTCCCACTGAGTATGACATGGGACATGGCAAGAGTCTGGTCCGGGAAGGCCTTGGGTAAGGAGCAGGACCAGCCCTGCGACTGCCAACTTCAGTCTTATTCTGTGATAATAAATCTCAGTATCTGTACCATCTTCAGTCGAGTATCCCATTACTTACTAATAATGACAGCAAACACTGCTACAGTACTTAAGGTATTTAGACCATATACCAGGTTCACTTTTACATAGGCTAGCTCATTTCATTCCTACAACAACCTTTCAAAGAATTTATCCTTATTTTGCAGATGAGGAAACTGAGGCACAGAGAGGCTTGAGTGACTTGCCCGGTATCACTGACCCAGGCAGTATGGCTCCAGAGTGCCCACTTTTTACATACCTATAACCGGAATGATGTACCGTGTAACCAAAGAGAGATTTGTGGTAGGTCAGACATATTCTAGATAAGAGCTTTTTTTTTTTTTTATCGAGACAGAGTTTCACTTTATTGCCCTCGGTAGACTGCTGTGGCATCACAGTTCACAGCAACCTCCAACTCCTGGGCTTAGGCAATTCTCTTGCTTCAGCCTCCTGAGTAGCTGGGACTGCAGGCATCTGCCACAATGCCCAGCTATTTTTTGTTGTTGTTGCAGTTTGGCCGGGGCTGGGTTTGAACCAGCCACCCTCAGTATATGGGGCTGGCACCCCACCCACTGAGCCACAGATGCTGCCCTAGATAAGAGCTTTTTATCTGAATTTTTTTTTTTTGCAATTTTTGGCCGGGGCCAGATTTGAACCAACCACCTCCGGTATATGGGGTCAGCACCCTAGATAAGAGCTTTTTAATGGTGTTGAACTGAAAGATACTTTGAGCCAAAAGCATGGAAATTAAGAGGTCAGGGGTCTCATTCTGGCATAGGCTTCATCTACCTTCTCGGCCAGCAAAAGCCCGTCATCTTCTTCAGTCACTGACACCTGTGCCCCTCTGTAGGCAGGGGCGTCCCTCCTGTTCCCCTGCCTTCACTCACTTTGGTTAATAGTACTACCTGCCTCCCAACCCCTCTTGTCCTGAGCAACTTCAAACCCATGCTGTTTCTCCCTCTGCCTCAGCCTCCGCTCCAACATTTACCAAATATTACCTATTCTCTTTCAAAGATGCTTCTCTGAGTCAGTGATTCCCACTGCCATCTCCTGTTTGGTCTCTCTAACTTGTCTCTCCTTGCTCTGCTCCCACATCATTCTCTCTATCCAACTTCAAGTAACCTTAAAAATATAACACAGCAGGCTCGGCGGCTGGGGCACCAGCCATACACCAGGGCTGGCGGGTTCCTACTCGGGCCAGGCCTGCCAAACAACAAGGACAACTACAACAACAAAAAAAGCTAGGCGTTGTGGCAGGCGCCTGTAGCCCCAGCTACTTGGGAGGCTGAGGCAAGAGAATTGCTTAAGCCCAAGAGTTTGAGGTTGCTGTGAGCTGTGATACCCCAGCACTCTACTGAGGGCAACATAGTGAGACTATGTCTCAAAAAAAACTCAAAAAAACCAAAAAGCCACAGACACATAACTGCATGCATGACACTGGGCCCCCCATTATCTTCAGGGGTGATTACCAGTTGTGTGTGGCCTGACACGGCTTGCTATGCTCTGGCCTCACCCTAACAGCCCTCCAGCTACCTCTCTCTCACAAAAGCTGAGCTGCAGCCGCACCCCCTTTCCCACCATCTCTCAGAGGTGCTCATCTTGATCCACATTGCTCCTTCCGTCTGTAAATGTCCTACCCCTTGTTCACCTGGCAATTTTCTGCTCATCCTTCAAGACCCTGCCAAAAAAATCACCTCCACTGTAGTCTCTCCAGACTCTCCCAAGAAGAGGCATTATTCCTCCTGGATTTCGGGCAAGGCTCTTCACTCATACATTCCTGAAACACTCCCACAATATCTTCTCATGTTACTCGCTGCACTGTGAGATATTGGAGAGCCACGTTTCTCTGATTCCCCATGGATAAAAGTGTGTCTGGCACACAGCAGACATTCGATAAATGGTCACAAGTGAATTTTATAACCTGTTTGTTGAAGGCCTTTCCTTTCAGCAATGGGCAGGAATGGGATTCAGCTTGTGTGCAACATAAAGAGAAAGTCCAGTCAAGACGCCACAGACATGCATTGTTGAGGAGAGTCGGACAAAATCCAGGTGCCTAGTAATGAAGTGTATACTCTTATTTTAACCAAGACCATGTGTGGAGAGACCAGCAGACGAGCATTTTGATTGTCATTGTTTCTCTCCTTTGGGTGGAGATGGTATAGTTTACCTAGCCTGTAGAAAGGACAAGCTGAGGATGTGTTGGTTTTTATTTGTGAGACACAGTCTCACTATGTCACCCTTGGTAGAGCACTGTGGCGTCACAGCTCACAGCAACCTCAAA